CACATGGTCCACTCATCCGACCATCGAGATTACACGTGAAACGGCAAGATCAAACCAAATGAATATGGAGGCGAAATTTGAAAACCTATACGCATAGCTTTCTGACCTGGTTCCCTCTTCATCGTTGGAGTTGGAAAGGCTCAAATCCATCTTAGTGAATGCTTGCTAACAGGATCAGAATGTCAAGCTAAATACAAGTCAATTGGTAACTACATAACACATCAGATGACTACGAGAGCTTCAGAAAATTAACGGTTATACTATCCATACCAGAGAAGGGGACGGGGATCGTGCTGTTAATTCGAATGGACTACATAAACAAGATGAATACCATATTGATTGATCGGTCGAAACTTACCAAGTCGATGGAGAAGGATAATACGGCTCAAATAGAAGGGTCGCTTTCTAAGATTTTGTGATGCCTAAAACAGAGCGGAGTCATTGATGCATCCATTTTTGAACGGAACTGTCATTCCGATGTTGTATGGATTGCCAAAAGTACACAAAGATGGAGTACCAACCATTACGACCGATTTTGGATATGTACAACTCGCCATATCATGCCCTGGCAAAGTGGTTGGTCGAATTGTTAGAACTATCTCGAGTTAGTTTGGCAAAACACAGCGTCAAAGATACATTTACTTTTGTGGACAAGGTTCGTGACATAAACTTGGTCGATCGAACAATGCTCTACCTGGACGTCAGCTCGTTGTTCACCAATGTTGCCATCAGCGAAATGACTGATTATCTGTACAGTTATGTACCACTTCACAAGCACTGATGATATCACCTCGGATGGTGATGAAACGTTTGCAAACAAATTGCCAAGCTCGGCGAACAGGCGAAATGGAGTTATGTACCAACCAATAATGTAGAGCTCGGCCTCCCGTTGGATGATCTAAAACAACTGCTTTACTTCTACACGTATAATGTACAGAGCAAGTTTAACGATGAGATCTATCGATAAAAGGATGGCGTGGCCATGGGGTCTCCGCTGGGACCGCTTTCCAACGATTCATTCATGACGAAATCGACAAAATTCAACTACAGTCATCCATCGAAGACTGTGTACTATATACACAGTACGTAGATGACATTCACAATCGATCAGTGCAACATCGAACACAACGGAACTATTAACTAGGTTAAACAGAGCACATCACAACATGAAATTTACTTTAGAAATGTTGTGTAACAGAAAATTACCGTTTCTAGATGTGTGCATCACCCGTTTGGTGCAGCGTTCCGTGCATAGAAAGGCAACTTGCAAAGATCAATATATTCATTTCCGAAGCTTTATGCCACTGAAGGTAAAAAGGAACCAGGTTCGTTGCATAGCCGACAGGACAAGAAAGATCTGCAGTGAGGACACGCTAGAAGACTAGTTCCTTACTATAAACTCTATCTTTGCACATAAAAGGCATTCGGAGAGTTTACTCAATAGAACAATTCAGTTCACAGAAACCTCTACGAAAAACACCAAAGCAAAAACCCGAGTGCATTTCTTGGCCAGTCGAGGTGGACACATCAGTTGAGATCATACAAAGGAGATTATCCAACGGAACTGATAAAACTTCTGATGCATCCAAGTTGCGTGTGTTGTTAACGTCCAAACCAATCGTGTACTTGTGACTAAAAGACAAAGTTCGAGGCTCTACAGTCTCATTCTGTGTATACTTGTTAGGTTTTCACAGAAAATGTGGTATGTACAACTCTTGTGATTTTTCAACTGTTTTCTACCAGACAGTTGATATCATCAAAGACAAACCCCTGCATATGAACAGTAAGAATTTATTACTATTATTATTGTTTTTATTGAGTGACGGTGGTCACAGCAGCCCTGCCCCCCCCCCCGGGATGTTAAGTGATAACGGTGGTAGGGTGAAAAGTGAGTTTATCAAATGAACACGAGAGGTCACGTGATTAGCGATGTTGCGTCCCAGGTTTAGTAGATAAATAATCACATAGTGAATTACGCAACTCATTTATTGTACACGGAAAATATGTAGCCGGTTCATAGACCGGGGTGCAATCAGAAGCGGGCACCACGTAGGAAGGCAGGCAGGCAGCTCACACGTTACGCAACAATCGAACGCTGTCAAGCCGGCATTCACGCAACCAGCCAATCAATCAAGCAGTCTTTCAATCAATCAATTAATCAACGAATTTGACCACAGACATATATGGCAGACGTATCAGTCAGTGATGGACCACAGCAAAGAAGCACGAAAAAGCNGGAGACGCAATGTTTCTAATGTAATCTTCAATTGAAACTGCGCCAGAATTTGGACACTTCTGCCTCAAATGATCTACACTATTGCTCGCTGTCCAATTGGTTCGCCTGTGGCACAGAGTCAACTGACGAAGGACAACGTAGGTGTATGCATTTGGTCTTTAAGTGAAGTTCCAGTTGCGTGTCTCATCTCACCCAAACTTGATGCGATAATGTACATTTCGTTTTCGTGAATTGACTCCTAAATCGAGCCACTTCTGAGTTTGCTTGGAATCGGTGGTTGATTCTCCTTAACTGGTCCTGGNGTCCTGGTGGATGCCACTCTGATATGTTTACCTCGGCGAAATTTCATCTCCATTCAACATCCACAGTTGTTTGTTCTTGAGAAACAGAAGGTCACAATGAAATTCAGAAAATTTCAACTATTCATATCTTGTTTCTAATGTGATTTTTGAAGATCAGGCTCTTGCGATTTTCCCAACAACATCTCTGTTAGTTTCCGGGAGCAATTACCAGACATGAGGAATCCAGTTCCAATATCTATGGGTCCGGTGATATCTTAGCACTTGAAGCGTGCACTGCCAGAGCGGTTTCTAACAACCAACGGAACAGGAGAGTTTTCATCAATCTGGTTCGCTCTTGGGCATGCAACTCGACTGACTGAACATAATTGGAATATTGTGCCGGTGACAACGGTGATAAGCATATTTGTTTACTGTCAGTATAATCGGTAACCAGTGAATAATTCAATTCCAGGCTCATTGAATAAACTCTCTCGTAGTGATACCATCACTTCCGGCGGAGGGAAGGGGAACATTCCTCGTAACACTACAAAAACACCTGAACATGTTGAACACCGACAATCTCACACGTTTGTCATCACTAAGCTGGTTCGACAAAATAAACATCCACCTCCCTTGAAAAGTATTATCTGTAAATACGCATTTGACTGACGACTCCAGAAGGCCTTTCATATTGGTACCTATTTTGAAACTCTCTCTCCCTCGGTCTAGCAACTCACCCCAAATTTTTTATGGTATTACCAGGATTTCTTTAT